AAAGGAGCCAATGTGGCACCTTCAACGGTGGATGGCCATCTGGTTTCATGAACTGAGCATGAATAGGTATCATAAAGGGGAAGTTAAAGAACGCAATGATGATCAGATAGATCAAACCGACGGTGACGGCAGGCGTAGCGACAGCCGGGGCAAAAGGACGTAGATCGACGGACGTGAACCCAATGGCCGGGTTGATCACCTGCGGGGGCACAGATGACAGGTTGCTGACAGATGAAGTGAGAGACTGGACCCATTGAGGGCCGAACTCTGCTAGCACCATGCCCTGTAGGATGGCTAGGTCGGGCATGATATAGTTGTAGTAGGTTGTTTCATCGCGCGCGGAGATGATTACTGTCTCGATGGCGCCAGTCGGATCGTAGGTTGTATTGTCATTGGTGACTGCATCCCGGAGCAACGTTGTTGCGTTAGGCTTGATTATCACGGCGGCATAGGCATGTTCGTCATAGATGCCCTGGCGTACGGCCAAGGGGTCATAGTTGAAGTCGGCGGGGGATTTGATAGTGTAGCCGAGGTGGAGGCTGTCAGACTGCAGGATCCTCTTGGTAGCATCCGTAACTGCTGGACCAACGATGGTATCGTTGGAGCGGTATGGATCAACTTGGCCGTCGAAATCGACAACCCATACCTTCAGCACTGGGAACTTGTCCTCAGTGCCGTACTGGACTCCCCAGAAGAGAGATAGCACGGCGTACACGAAGACGCACAGAATCAATACTGATGTTTTCAGTTAATTTCTCTTGCATTCCGTGAGTTGCCGTATTCTAGACTTTACTTACAAGTGCGAGCCCATTGGTAGAATACCCGCTTTCGAATCTCATTGAGAGATGGATCAAAGAATGATACAGCCGCAGGTGGGCTGGTGTCACTTTCCAACTCAGTTTTTACTACTGTCATAATCAAACAGATTGTAGGGAATATGCGACTATGAAAAAAAGAAGCGCGATCAGTCCTTATTAAAGATCCAACAATGTCCATCCGCTTGCGGCGTATATCTCTCGGAGTTTATCCATTTCTGGAAATCCCATGCCTTAACTCCGAAGAAGACCGAGAAGATCTGATAACTTCTAGCGAATGAGAGCCACGCATACGAGTCTGCAGGTTTGTCTTCCGGGGTAGTATAAACCTCTCGCTGCGCTCGAGAAAAGTGGCGCAGGAATATGTATATCCGTAAACGCGGTATTGGCGTAGGAGAATATATATATCCGTCAACCTATCAACCATGGAGTTGGAAGTCAAGACCGTTATATAAAGTTTTTGAGAACAGTGTTTCCAATGAATTATCTAGTGGTTTAATGTTTCATAGTTTAACGGTGCAAGGAAAATGATCCCTAGTGTATCAGGTTACCCGCCATTGCGCGTCCTCATATTTCATCAAGCTGATCCTGGCCTGCAGGCCGACGTATGATGTTTGCTGTTATGAAGGGAGTGAGACAGTGCGCAGATCTCGTGACAGCTCAAATTCTCTATTTTTATAATCTCCGTGGTGCATCATTGACAGAATCCGCCCGACACCACAGATAACAGAACACGCAGACCGGCAGTTGTGGACATCGACGGGGAAATAGTAGGAAAGCAGTGCAACTTATATCGACGATCGTAAACTCATTTCATTTAATCTAAGGGTATCATTAAAAAGTCTATACATATTATACTTTCCCACCGAGGGATCCCAATCGATCTTTCAGACTTTCAAACAAATTGCGCATAGGATCTAGGAGCCCGCCAGAGACCCTTGACTGTTTCAAACAGCGACATTCGAAAGGAGGTTTGAAGATGTTCAGGCGCAGGTGACCTGATATGAACCGTAGCGGCGTCTCGTTCCAGCTATGCGGCAAGTTTGGGTGGCATTGGCTTGGCTGGCGATGTCGGAGAGTTCGTTCTGGTCGCACATGGTGTTATCGAACAACTCGATGCGGCAGCCCTCGGCGAGAGAGTTCAGAGTGTAGGCAGAGGCAACGCTGTAGAGATCGGCGCGACAGCCTGTGCTGCCAGATCCGACGTGGGGATCACCGACAGTTCCGTTGCATGAGGCTGACGGGAAAAGGGTGAAGGACCATTGAGCGTCGCGGCTGATGAGGGGGAATGCGGAGGAGAAGTTGAAAAGTAGAGTCACGGCCAAGAGGCAGAGACGAAGAGTAGAGACCATGGTGCCTTGGAGACGACTGTAGAAGGCGTGTTTGGTAGACGATTGAAAAAGCGCAAGGAGAAAGGAGGGCTGGTTTCTTAAGGGTCTTTTTAGACTGACAGGGGAAAGTCCACAATTTATGATGGACCCACCGAATTTAAGATTAGGAATTTCCTTTATTACCTATACTCCGCAAGTACGAAGTAGAAAAAGAATATGTTTCAAGGTGCCAAGCATCAATTACGTCCGGGCATCCACATGTATACAGCCATGCATGCATATAATATAGATCTCCTATCGGGAATTCACCCTCCCCGTACTCCGTACTAATGTGGAACCTCCCCGACAACGGGTTTTCATTCCTGATGATATCATCCCCAATCGATGATCATTTAGTCCTATTCCGGTAAGTGGGAGGGGCTGGGACCCCCCTCTTACGCAGATGCATACGTACTCGCCCCTAAATCACCACCAGTTCCTATATTGTACTCCCTATGTTCGTGATACTCGTTCTATTTATATCGACTACACCTTGATATAAATATGGTGGCTGGATATCCAAAAAAAAAGGTGGCACAGGTGGCAACCATGCGGTCCTCCCAGCCGACAGGAAAAAAAAACAAGGTAAACCACTTGGGAAGAAAAGAAATTTCTTATCCGATCGGCAGAGAAACCTTGGAATCTTGGAATCTTCATGTCCATGGTTCTACGTTGTTTAATCTCATCTTAGGGTTTCTTTTCAAGGTTGTCATACATCTAAATATCTACTAGGTAACTTGTAGCCAAATGCTTCCACCCCTGACCAACATAGTTGTACAGTTATTTACTTCAAAGGTAAATTCTCTAACCCATCTTTTGGTTGACTCTTCCCTGTTAGTGACCGGATTTGAATTCCGATCGCCATCGATCCCTGGACTTTGAACGCTTTCAGGGTCTAATCACGCACAGCCGTTTTATCAAATCAAATTCGGAGTACTCCGTACTCGTAGATAGGGGGTTCTTAAATGGAGCATGCATTTTTTTTTTTACCCTGAGTTATCGCGTGTACCTTTTCTCGATCACACATGTCGCTAAAATACTCCGGAACATTACAGAATTTGGCTATGAGATATGAGATGGGTCATATTCGCAGAACACTAGCTACATAACCTGTCTGTATTAATATTGACAAAGGAAATACGATAGTATATTGCCAGTCAATGATCACTCGGACCACTTTGATCCACTTTCGTAGACAGTTCAAGAAATAGCCCACCTTCACGTGTCACATCTATAGGTAAGGATCGTCCAGGGTTCGCTGGTGCACGCCTACAACATAGTTAGTAAGCGCTGCGGCTGCCGACTTCGGGAGAAGTGCGTCATCGCCAAGTTGTTGCCTCAGGCATTATAGTGCAAACCCTGCAAACCTTAGGAGCTCGTTATCAGATCTCGTTCTCAGTCTGTGTGTCCGCCGCTCTAGCGACAAAGCCTCTTATAAATGGACAATCGAGTTGCAGAGAATGTTCTCGGTACTCTGGGTGCAGTGGGTGCTATTTCCCGGTTTTCCCGATTGGTAGAGCGAACTAACTATCCTTTAGGTATGCTGGTCTGTCCAAGTATGCGGTTGCTGTGTGCCAATTACTTTTGAGCCCGCACTAATCACATTATACAGCTCATTCCTCAAATAGTCATCAATTACAGGAGACATGACACAGAAGGCCTACAAGGGTCAATGATGCTCTTATGGGCCACCGCAGGGGTTCCCCTCGGGGTGTACAACATTGTGGAGGAATTCAACATTGCCCTAAGGATTCAGCCTCAAATCCTGACGACACTCAGCCTCATTACTTGGGCGCAGTGTCTCTACTATGGAAAGGTAAATACTTTGCTTTATATCCAACATCATCCTCATAATACTCATATAAGCTCAGAAATACCGAATCATGAAATGCGGTGTCGCAGTCACTTCGCTTCTGCTGCTGTTCGGCGGCATTGAAGCAGGACTCATATTTGCCTTGCAAGCTGCGAAAAGGCGCGGATTAGAATGGCCTCTCATCTTGATGGCAGTTTTGAGTGCGTGCCTACTTGCAGCAGGTGTACTGAGACATTACTGGGATATTTATGTCCACCGGACTGTCCGAGGGATCAGCTTCATCTTTGTCGGTATTGACGCTGCTGGGGACCTGTTTTCACTCCTCTCTGTTTGTAGGTCAACTTCATCGTCAGGTAGAGATGGTCAACGGCTAATATGCAAGCAGTGTTTGGATCGACTATTTCTGCTCTTGGGATAATTATCTATGGAACTGAATTGACCCTTTGGGTGGGCATATTCATCTGCGGCGGTATTTTCAACCTCCGGCCTTGGATTAAAGAGCGCTCCGAGCAGCGAAATGGCAATCTGCAGGAACCGGTGTCCCTACATCCAATGCCATCGTCGACTTCTGTGTTCAGGACCGCATCCGGATCTCAAGTGACCGAAAGAAGGCCATGGCAGAGTTCGTAAATAATCAGCAATTCATCATCTAAATACTTCAATATCAAATTAGATTGCCTATTTATACACCAAACGCTCGTGCCGATACTGTAGTAATAGCAACCTTCGTCTTATGTGGTCCCGAACGATCAACATCTACAAACTAGTCAACTTTTGTAGAACTCGAAGTATAAGATGAGGTTGGGTTACACGCAAGTGGAGCTAGATACCCAGAGCTGGATGGAGCTGGAAATTTGGAAATTATGGAGACCGTAATGAGCGGCTGTCAGATTCGGTTTCAACTTTATCTCAGGGATGCTCCGCCGCATCCCGGACCCGCTTACAAGGTTGCTTTCTCAGAACACATTTGTGCCACAGAATCACATTTCTCGTCCCCCGTTCCTACATGTGCACATTCTGGGCTGATTGGAGGTAGTGGCACTTGCCTACAATTTTGCCTTGCTCGTCTTACCTGCCTTCGGACGTCTCCCGGTATCAACATCGGACCACCAAGGAAAGCTGGGCGGTGCATCAACATCAAGAGTTGCATTGAAGACTGGTTTTCGTTTCTCGAAGAATGCTTTGATACCTTCCTTTGAGTCCCTATAACACGGTTAGTATTGCTTCTTATCATGCAAATATTCCCAAGAAGGCTGTATGAGACGAGGCGGAGAGAGCATACCTCCCACTAAACATATGATACAACACCGCTGAATCAACTAGGTGAGTCTCCTCGGCACTCCCTGGGCTACGCCACATGAGTTCCCGCGAAAGATATGATGCCATGGGGCTAACGTTCTCTGCAACTTCCGTAGCAAGCTCCAACGCACGCGCGACTACCTGATTTGGATCAGGGTATGTCTCCTGGAACAAGGTCCCAAAATGCGGCGACGTAGGCGGGAAGGTGCCGCCCGTTGTGATTAAATAAAGAGCATTGGAGTAACCAATCAACCGCGGGAGAAAGAATGAAGAACTTGATTCCATCGTTAGACCTCGTCGCGGGAAGACAAATCCATACTTGGATTTCTCGCAGCCAATGCATATGGCAGCCGGCAGGGACATCGTCATGCCCAAACCAACAGCGGAGCCCTGCATGGCCGCTATAGTAGGCTTGCGACAGCGATAGATGGATAAAGCGAGTCGGCCGCCGCTGTTGATATCGGTATTAGCGGAATTGATATATGAGCTCTGGTTGGAGCTTCATGATTTACCTATGCGATGATCCTTGTTCCTCTCCTTCTTCATTTCACTGAACCCTCGCTCAAGATCCGCACCAGCACAGAACATTTTGCCAGCACCGGTAAGCACTACAACTTTGACGCGTTCGTCAACATCAAACATAGGATATATCTTCTCAAACACATGCATCATCTCTAGAGTGAATGAATTATTCTTTTCCGGTCGGTTTAGCGTCCCCACAATGACAGGGGTAGCTTCGAGGGCCCCGGCTGGGTGGTGGGAGACATTGACATCCGTCAATGGAAGAGTCTCCTAAGACTTGGGAATTTCGATAGTGTCTGGGTCAAAAATCATTGTGGTCACTAAAGATAAACCAGACTGGAATTTACTTCGCCATTTGCTGAGATATGTTCGCAAATTATATGTCAGTCCACGCCTCGGCTTTCACTTGGGCATGCAGATTGGATCACTAATCATGGAGCTTAACGAAATTGAGCCGCGGTCAACATATGCTTTGCACGGGGTTGGGAGTACACTATCTCGGAACATATTAGAAGCTAGGAGTGACATGTGTCCTTGGGGGCTAAGGGTTTGATCACTAGACTCATTCTCGATGTACTACATACAGGCCGAAGTAGTATCACCACAATCGACGATTTTCATAGTAATTCCAACTTATACCTGCGACTCTTCTTTATCACAGAGGAATATTACAGCCATATTCTGGTGAATTCAGTCTCGTATCCATTTTAGGGCCTGTTCTCAGCCATTATTCGCATCTCTTTTCCCAGAATAGGGCTTGTTTTCAGTCCGGGGTATGGAATGCCAGGCGTGCATTCATGGCAAAATAAATTCATATGTATGAATAAATCCGTATATCGCATCCAGTTTTCATCATTTCATATGTCTAGCAAACGCCACAGCCATATACTCCGTTGCATCACCCGGTGGGAAAACAGCGGATAGATAGGCAGTCCAGCCAGGAATATCGTTGCAAAAAGTATACGCTCTAACAGTCTCACACCATTCAGGTTGCCATCCTGAAAGTTCCCAGTCCAAAACTGCAGTGACATGACCATGGTCGTCAACCAGGATATTTCTCGGTGCCAGATCACCGTGCGTGAAGACCAACTTATCCTCCGGCCATTTATTTCCCGTATAATTGAGCAGAAGATCCGGGACTGAGGTCCTCAATCTCGAAAATAGGTACTCGTCAAGGTAGACTGGGCGCCGTGTGTATATATGTTTATGGCTGAAAGGTTCCAGATGTTCGCGCTTTAGCCCCCGGAGTTGTTGTACATATCCACGTAGTTCCTGCGCAACGGACATCTTTTGTGATGGGATCATGCTAGACCAGGCATCTTGCAGCGTCTGACCTTCGACATAGTCCATTAATATAGACTTGGCGCCACCATCATGGATTTGGGTCTCGTGAACGTGGGGGATCGGGATGGCCGTGTTTTCGGAAATATAGCGCATATTCTCGGCTTCAAGCTCTATATCTTCTGAGGGTCCATATTTAAGTAATCTGTCCTGGGCAACTCGAATGAATTTCCGGAGACTGAGTTCTGGTCGCTCTAAGTGCCTCCACTAGTCAATGTGGTGTAATCATTTCACTTTTAGACATACTGACCTTCGCCAGAGACATCCATCGTGTATACCTGCTTGTGACCCCGCAATCAGAACATGAGCCTAAAAATAAATGATGAGAAAGTGCACTATTCGATCCATGACCAATCACGTGGCTGGGAGTGGTCAGACAGTTGGCTGAATGTAGTAACCTTGGAAGTTAGTTGGAGCGAAGCCAGTATGTTCTGTCATACGGACTTGAGGACAAGAACTACGAGTGATACATAGGTAAACACTGCATTTAGATAAGAGCACCATCCATTTTTCTACTCTATGTGGCGTGAATAATCATCATCAGGAAAGCCTGGGTATATAGGCTACCCCTCATCTATCGGGTAGACAAGAATATTTAAACGAAGACCTTGGCCTCGCCGGCCTTCAGCTTGCCAGCATCGACAAGGCGCTTAGCCTCGCCAGACCAAGCGGTCTTGACAGCAGCGCCATCACTGCCGGCAATGGTGAGCTTCTCAGCCAGAACGGCAAGCTCATCAACATCGATCTTGGCCATGATGAGGTCGACATCGCTGAGGACATTGTCGATATCAGCGGGAGTGGGCTCACCGGCGGCGAAGTAGTTGACATCCTTGACGGAGCCCTTGAGGATACGCTTGTTCTTCTTGGAAGCGTTCTTAGCGGCCTCTTTAGCCTTCTTGTTCTTCTCACGGTCAGCCTTGGCGGCCTCCTCAGCGTCCTTCTTGCGCTGCTCCTCGGCGGCCTTGGCGTTCTCCTTCTCCTCCTTGAGACGACGCATCTCCTCCTCCTTGGCGAGGCGCTTAGCGTCTTTGCCGGCACGAGCCTGCTGGCGGAACTTCTTAATACGCTCATCGGAAGCGAGACACTCGTCAACGAGCTCACGCAGACGAACGGTGTCCTCCGTCTTGCGCTTGCGGCGGGCATTGGCGTTCTTCTTCTCCACATGACGTTTCTGGTCACGACTCTCTCCATCATCAGGCACATCCTCATCAAGGTACTCGAAAGTCCTCCAGCTGTCAACATTGTACCAGAAGTTGTAGAAAGTCTCGACATGCTCCTGAGTGCTGTTCTCGTCTCCGAGTGTGGGCACAGGCTGCTTATTGGAGAAGCGACCCTCGGCAACAAAAACAGGGCCCCAGGCCTTGTAGAACTTGCTACCGGTGAGCTTCTTAGTGGGGGGCTCAACGTCAGCGTTGTCGTCGACGGAATCGAACTGGCGACGACGAGTAGGGTCGAGAAGCAGATCGGTAGCCTTCTGAATACACTTGAAGAAGCTGTCGTTCTCATCGCTGTTACCCTGGGCGGCCTTCTTGTCAGGGTGGTGACGCAGGACCTTCTTGCGGTGAGCCCGCTTGATCTGCTCGGGGGTTGCGCGCCAGCGGTACTTTTTCAGACCCAAGACGGCGTAGTGATCCTGGCCCTGCTAAGAGTTAGAAAATGACCAGCCAGAATAAATGTTAAATTACTGACCTTCCAGTCCTTGGCCTCACGGGCAAGCATGACAGGGTCCTCATCTTCAGAGATATCATCATCCTCCTCAGTCTCGGTCTTTTTGACATTGTTCTGGGCCTGGAGGCGCTCATCCTCGGAGAAAGTACGGTTGTGACGAGACTAAAATGTGGTTAATTCTGACGAAACAAAAGAATGAGTGAATTTGGAGAACTCACTCGGCGAGCGTGAGCCAGGAAGTGCGGGCCAACGGGCTCCACGTTGCGCTTGGTGGCACCGGACAGAGCACCGACAATCTTGAAATCCTTCTCGCCAGCCCAGCCCTGAGGCAAGGTAGGGAGGGTAATGTCAACAACTTGAGCAGCAGCCATTGTGTAATGGTATTGGTGACGGTACCAAGTTGTGTGTGGAGGGCGTTGGGTCCCGCGATGGAATTTTTTGCATACCTTTTTTTTCTGCCCCAAATATCCGCCCCTCCAGCCAATCACGGGCCGGATGTTCTGGAGTTTTGAGATTGGTGATGGCACCCGGCCTTGCTTCCTTTCTCTGTTCACTTGTACATTCTAATTTTCTGGTCTGATCGATCTGCGTTCTTCTTTAGACAACTATAACTTCTACATCGCATCTACAGCACCACCCCTCCCCCAACTTTATCCTATCTCATTGTTCGTGCGGATCTTCTACAGCAGTTTGCCACCTGCTTCCCGGCCTGTTCCTAAAAACACCCACGTCTATACTTCTGTGACAATTCCGCCTTTCACTATGGCCACCTCCACTGCCGCTGCTGCTAAGGGTGTCTATCGGCAACTCCTCCGGTCTACCCGGGTGGCCTTCCATAGTTCGTTTGGCCAACACAACCGTCACTGAGGCATCTGTTCATACTGACGTCCGCTATAGACGATCCCCCAATTTTCATCGCTGCGCGCCAGGAAGTTCGCAAGAAGTTCGAGGAGAACCGTCGGCCCGCTGTCGACACTGGAATGCAAATCAAGCACGGGATTGAGGTTGCGGATATCCTGCGCCACAACATCGTCCAGGGCGCGAGAGAGCAGGGAGATGAAGCTGCTAAGTGGGGTAGGTGTTTCTTAATCTCACGATTGCACTTCGTGGTTTGGTACTCATGTGCTCATTCAAACTGTTTACTAACGAGCGATTGATCCACAGAACTCAATATTCACGACCAGATTGAACGCGGTGATAACGACTCTGTCAAAATCGGCGATCAGAATGTGAAAATCCACAAGGCTTGCTCGTCATAATGGGATTCTACTTCCTGCCATCATACTCAGTTGAATCTGGGCGCACTCTCCGAGTCCATTCAGAGTCCAAACCCGACACTGAAAACGAGGTCGAAGCCAAGCCTACGACCATATGTCAAACTGACGGCATATGAAACAGTAAAATAAGCTACGACAGTGACCGGACATGTATTATAAGATACCCGACTCTTTTATCATTGGCGTCTTCGGGGTATTTTCGATTGAAGTACATAGATCTGCATAGAATAACAATCCTTGGTAACGCCCGCTCCGAACCCTCAATTTACTTTAATGGTATCCGCGCAAGTCTGTTCAATCGCCATTCATGCTGGCATATTGGATCTCACCCGATCCGGGCGGTGGTGCAATAACATGAGGCTGAGCTTTCTCCTGGCCAACACCCTCGCCTGCAGAGGTAATGGCTTGTCGATCTGCTTGCTTACCCTTGGCAACCGATGCCACGGTCTGGCGACCCTCGCGGGCATTTTGCATTCTCTCTTCACGGTCCAGATTATCCAGTGGCTTCGGCTTTCCCCAGCGTACACGTAGAGGGCAGCCTTGAATGATGGCCTTGCCTTGGCAGTGGTTGGCGGCGGTTTCGGCATCCGCACGGTTAACGTAGTTGATGAAAGCACAATGGGAGCGGTGGGAGCAAATAAGCGACCGGAGCTGACCGAAATCGCTAAAAAATGTGCGGAGCGCATGTTCAGGAAGATCGTCTTCCACGCCTGTAATAAACAAGGAAGTGACGTTGGGATCCTTAGGGGGAAGAATATCTGCAGCCGAGGGCGGTAATTGGGTGGTACTGGGGAATGGGCGGCCACCACGGCCACCACCTCGTCCTCCCCGGCCTGGAAGGCGGTTTCCGGCGCGGCTTTCACTGGTGCGAACCGGACCTGGTCCATTTCCATACCGGCTGTTTGTTCGTGGTTGATCTGTTGCCGTGCCTTCCTCCCCTTTCTCTTCCTCGGCAGGTGCTTCGATTCGTCTGGGCTTGCGGTAATACGGTTCGCTGTTTGCAAGGCGTCGCAAAAGCTCACGAGCCTTGTCGTCTGTCTTTTCATATTCTTCGATAGCGCCGCGTCCCTCTTCGATTTCCTTCTCGTTGTTCTGCGCGTAATACTCGCGATTGATAGAGCTTTCCGGTCCTGGGGCGACCATTTTGAGAGCAGCATCACGGACGGCAAGGGGAAGACCGAACGACAAATCTAGCATGCAGCATTGACAGCAGTTCTTCAGGCGGGCGCATGTGAGACAGATAATCGATCGCTTTTGGCGGGAGGTCCGATCGGCCTTCCAACGGAAGATAGTAAATGGTCGCGTGCACTAAATATTTAGTATGTGGTTAAGAACTAGCTTCGAGGGAGCAGAAAAAAAAGACTTACGATCTTGCATTCTGCGCCATGATCTTCCTTGATCATCTGCACATAGGGATTTTCGGGAAGGCAGTTTTCACAAACGGAGGGGAAGTCTGTCGACTCCCAGCCGGATCGATTCAAATCATGCTTGATTTGGGGAGGCATATCGGATAGTATGGGTTAGTTGAGAGAGGCGAGAGCTTCCAAGGCTAGTATCAAGATCGATAGAAGTGGCGTGTGCCACAATGTGGCTAGTGCATCACGTGATCCTGTGCCTCAGGTCACCCTTTTTCCCACCGGGAGGTACAGCGTCCGACTCAGCCACAGGCCGGAACTTGCTGTCCCGCGAGGGAAAGAGAGTGTGGCCACTCCCCAATCTGCCCCCCGGAGGACACTAAGGCTCGGTCTAGTCGTTCGGAAGAACCCCCTGATTGGCTTTCCACTTTGGATTGTCAAAAAGTTGCTTGGGATTCGACTCTTATTTATTTCCCCTTTCTCCTACTTCTCCAAGTCGCTATCCATTCCCTTCACTTGTGCTCTCTTGCTTCGCTTCTCTTGTGGTATTCCAATCTCGGTTTACCTTGTCTTTTTCTCGTGGAAATTCTTGGAAATTGACGCTTTTGCCTCCTTTTACTCTACCCCTTTTAATCTTTGCGACTCATTTCTTCAACATGGCTCCCTCTGTATTGGAACATGAGGACAAGGCGCGTGATGCTGCCTTCAACAAGGCCTTGCATGGCAAGTCTGCTAAAGCCCAGGGTGGTCTTGCTGCTATGCGCGGAAAGGACGCCGCCGCCCAGAAGGCTGCCGTCGATGAGTACTTCAAGCATTGGGACAACCAGAATGCCGCTGATGAGACACCCGAGATCCGAGAGGTATGGCAGTACGCATCCAAAACAATTGGTCCTTATCGCTAACATTTCCTGTGTGATAGGCCCGCAAGGCTGAATATGCCACCTTGACCAGACAGTACGTTTGGAAAACCCCCATTGATCAACGCGCCTCATACTGATGATTCGTTTACAGCTACTACAACCTGGCTACCGACTTCTACGAGTACGGATGGGGTTCTTCGTTCCATTTCTGCCGTTTCGCCTACGGTGAGCCTTTCCACCAGGCCATTGCCCGTCACGAGCACTACCTTGCCCTCCAGGCTGGTATCACAGAGGACATGAAGGTTCTGGATGTTGGCTGTGGTGTCGGTGGTCCTGCTCGCGAGATGGTCAAGTTCACTGGTGCTCACGTCACCGGTCTGAACAACAACGACTACCAGATCGACCGCGCTACCCACTACGCGCAAAAGCAGGGTCTTTCGGACAAGATGGCCTTCGTCAAGGGCGACTTCATGCAGATGAACTTCCCCGACAACAGCTTTGATGCCGTCTACGCCATTGAAGCCACTGTTCACGCCCCCGAGCTTGTCGGTGTCTACAGCGAGATCTTCCGTGTCCTGAAGCCAGGTGGTACCTTCGCTGTGTACGAGTGGCTCATGACCGACGAGTATAACAACGATGATCCTGAGCACCGTCGCATCCGTCTCGGTATCGAGCAGGGTGACGGTATCTCCAACATGGTCCGTATCTCCGAGGGTCTCGAAGCCATGAAGAACGCTGGCTTTGAACTGAAGCACCACGAGGATCTCGCTGCTCGTCCCGACCCTATTCCCTGGTACTACCCGCTGGCGGGTTCCTTCAAGCACATGGGCTCCGCCTGGGACTTCTTCACCATCGCTCGCATGACCTGGTGGGGCCGTGGCCTTGCCCACCGCTTCGTCGGTGCCGGCGAGTCCATCGGTCTCTTCCCCAAGGGTTCCCAGAAGACCGCCGACAGCCTGGCCTTGGCTGCTGACTGTCTGGTCGAAGGTGCTCAGAAAAACCTCTTCACCCCCATGTATCTCATGGTCGGCAAGAAGCCTGAGTAAATCTTGAGCAACAACGGTGTTAGCGGTCTTTTTGTGTAAAAAAATATTTACTCCCGGCGTGCACGTTATTCCCTGGTGTCCTCATCTTATTTCATTTCATTTCTTCGCATTACCCTCCGCATGTCACCAGGGAATTTTTCTTGGCTCAAGTCTGACCCAATGTCGGCGGAGAACGAGCCGTGTGCCGCTTTCTCCTAATTGACGGTGTCATTAATTTTTTCTTTCTGTTGTTTTTTTTTTCCCTGTCAAGATAGCAATGTAATAGTCATTGAGTCAAGAATAACGAGCAAAGGATTGGTATTGTTTTATGTGAATTTTTTCTCTCTATATTCGCCGCGCACATGCTGTTAGAGCTAGATATGGTACACGTATTTGCGAACCTCGGCGGCTCGTTTAGATTACTCTTTGCTACCGGACAGCAGATAAGCTATTTGGACTATTGTGACCTCCAAGAGAAAACAATCTATCCTCCTTACCATATTATAAGTATTTTGAAATCGGAGGAACAAACTCCGGTGAATCTTCTCTTAGTGTCATATAGCTCCCTAGCACCATACACACATAGCAACTCTACCATAGCTCTACTTGATAGAGTTGAAAAGGAGTCGAAGTCAAAGTACCATAAATTTGAATTTGGTGAAAAGTATGTGGGTCTAGGCAAAAGCTCATCTATTCTATAATGCTTCGGCTTCATAGCCTTCACCAGAGCCATCGAAATTGCGCATAGTCATTAGGATTGGCACCACAGCTGCGCTGCGTTGGGGATTAATTAGAAGATCTAGATTCACCAATTTTTAGGGCATACACGTATACGTACGGAGTTAGAGGTTGGATTAAAGTTTATGTGCCTGTTTGTCTCAGGCCTAGCTAGATCAGAGCAGTTCGTTCACAAACTGTAGCTCTTATTCTCTTCCTTGTCCTATCATTGGTTACCAAATAGCTTCGAACCTTATATTCATGGAGAAACCGAGGAAGAAAACAAACTCAAGGCCCTTCCCGACTCACGCGATCTTTGCACGTACAGGCGAGAGCTATGGGTACGAGAATAGTCGGCTGCTTATACGGCCTTCTCGTTCTAGTTGTCTTTTTAGTATAGAAGTATTCTTCCTACCACAGAGGTTAGACAAACCCCTTCTAAAAAGTATATTCATGTGGTGATAACATATTTGTCATGGCCAACTTAGAAGATGAGCATTTTGATATATATATCTATGGATGCTTGGTAGTAAATACAATCAGGTAGTATTAGCCAGTGAGGATTAAGTGCCGAATGGCACAATTCCTCGCCCGTGGCATCCACGAATCATCTAGGTGATATATTTAACCGGCTTTGAATTGTCTACTTTTCGAACCAAGTGCTTTTTGTACTACATACCGAGCTCACCTTAAACATCAGTCATTTTACCAAGCAAGGACGAAATATGAGAATTACTCCGAGTATTGCTGGTATCCATAATATTTCCCCCCTCAGTAAGTATAAATTATCATTATTGTTGTAATACTATACATACTCCGTACTAGTTATGTAGTTCTGAGCCAAGAAGAGGTAAGCATATGTCCCTCCTCGGCAAAAGCTTTTATTAACAATATAGAAATTAATATAGAAGTTAATATAGAACGATCACGTTGCTCAAAGAAGGTGAGTGTATGGGTCAGCCCAGAGCTGTTCCTGACCAGGGCGGGCCAGCGAGCCTAGGGGGTCAGCCAGTTAGGGCACGAACAGTAACAACGTGCAACGCAGGGTCCAACGGCGGGCAGGTACCCGGTCCACTGTCTGCCATTCACCCAATCAAATCAACTTGATTTCGGACTCTAATTTCTTCAGGTCAGTTCAATTCAAGCCTTGACACCTCGGGGGAAAAAACGCTTGGAAATGCAGCCAGTTAGCCCTGCATCGATCACAACGTGGTGTCGGTTAGGAGTGCCGTGTAACATAGCGCATTTTTGCCGATGGGGGGGATGTCATGCCTCCGACGCTGGCTGGAGTATAAGATCGCGTGTTCGACCCACCGATCTGCTCCTTTGTTGTCTATCTCATCACAGCGATCTCAGATATGTTCACCAAACAAACTCTTCTCGCGTTCGTCGGGGCCCTGGCCTTGGCTGCGGCCAAGACTACCACTGAAGTGAACCCAACTCAGGCTGAAATCGATGCAGACCGTCTTACAGCCCGGCCTTACTCTCCTGTGTCAAACGTGAGGGGCTTGGTTTTTGATCGATTCGTGAACATCTGGCTTGAGAACACGGTAGGTTCCCCCCTTGCATAACCAGCAATGACCACGTGCTCACTCTTTTGCAGGACTACGAAACCGCTGCTGCTGACGCGAACCTGGCTAAGCTGGCTAAGGAGGGTATCCTCCTGACCAACTACTTTGCTGTCACCCACCCCTCGGAACCCAACTACTGTGCTTCCGCCGGTGGTGACACATTTGGCATGGACAGTGACGACTTCCTGCAGATCCCCGCCAATGTCTCAACTATTGCCGATCTGTTTGATACCAGGCATATCGCTTGGGGTGAGTACCAAGAGGACATGCCCTATGCCGGCTACCAGGGCATGCGGTACCCCCTCAGCGGCGCGAACCAGTACGTGCGCAAGCACAACCCGCTGGTTCTGTATGACTCGGTTACCAACGACGCCGTGCGCCCGCGTCAAATCAAGAATTTCACCACTTTCTACGATGACCTGGAACACCACCGCCTTCCCCAACACATGTTCATCACACCGAACATGACCAACGACGCTCACGATACCAACATCGGTGTGGCCGGCAACTGGGTCGAAAGCTTCCTGCCTCCCCTGTTGAAAAACGAATACTTCAGCAAGAACAGCCTGGTGTTGCTCACCTTTGACGAGTCAGGCAACTACACCCACCCCAACCGGGTCTTCAGCGTCCTGGTTGGAGGTGCTGTCCCCCAACACCTGAAGGGTACCACCGACGACACTTTCTACACACACTACTCAATCATTGCCTCCCTGTCCGCTAACTGGGGTCTGCCATCGCTTGGCCGCTGGGATTGTGGCGCCAACCTGCTAGACATTGTCGCTGAAAGGACCGGCTACGTCAACTGGGAAGTGGATCTCAGCAGTGCCTACCTCAACCAGACTTACCCTGGCCCCCTGTCTGACTCGCATTATTCCGCCAAGTGGCCCGTTCCTCTCACCGATGGCGAGTGCTCTGCTGGTAATGGTATTGCTAAGGTCGTGAAGAAGACCTACCACGGTCTTCACGCTACCCGCGACTACACCAGTCCTGTGCCGTATGACGAGGCCAGTGGAAACAACCTGGGCATCAAGTACTCGCGTACTCTGGTATGAACCTTCCCATTCTGCCCTTTGATGATTCTAATGCTAATAATTTACAGAAGCATGGTAAGAAGCAGTCTGGTATCACTGGGAACCAATAATCGACATATATATATATATGATACACTGCCACTACCGTGTCAGATGTGAACATAAGCAGTTACCCTAGTGTATAAAAAGTTGATTGAATACTATGTTGTTCTACCACATTAAAATAGTTCTTCGATTTTGTCACAATCATTGTGGATCCGAATGTTGTGACTTTCTTCCAATCTACGATCTACAGACTATGCTGATGAGTATGGGGGCATCCCCAGTTTACCTCTACCCCAGGAAATATGTATCTCCACAATCTCCACTAATAATCCTCCGATTTTGAACGACAGAATTTAAGATAGACAGATCGCCAATAAAATGAGTACAACAGTGAAGAAACGACCTTCTATCTCAAACCTGGTTTTCTCCCTTTCTGATATGCTTTTGATATAATTTGGGCGGGTGCAGTCCAAGCGCGTTGACGGTTTTATGGACTGATGTCATACCGCCGATGCCCTCATGTAGAGTTGGCAGGATACTTTTTCAGATAGTGCTGGAACACATCTTCCGCTCTCTAATTATTGAAATATTCTCTGCAGCATTGCCCGAAATTGAATGCTGACCCGATTAAATCTCTGTATTTCAATGATTTATTTTTAACCATAATCCAGTTATGTACAGACATTATTGCTATAGCTCAAACTACCCTGATCAATCTGGCTTCACATCTGCTAGATCTCAACGGAGATCGGCATTACACAAACCAATCAGTGATAGTGGGATTCATCTCCAAGTAACACCCGAGGTCTCTCAGATCTCAAGGAAGTTTTGCGGAGAGTTGCTGGCCACATGGCAATCTGTTTCCCAAGATTCCCACGAGGAACTTGAGGGGGCACGCCAAGGCCCTCGAAGCGCCACATACTTAGAAGGCGCTTTACTATGACGTTTTAGGAGTTTCGCTTTGGACTATGAACGGCCTTGCCGTGATCTGCACTCCCGCGAAGTATCGGCTCCCCCTCGTCTCGTACAATATGTCGGGGACCCTCCTAAGCGACGACGTCAAACGGGTGCCAAGAGATATGTACGTTGCACTCAAATCTAACATGGCATCATCGCGGACAGAGCGCATGTTCTGATTCGCGAAGGTACCGAGGGTTGTCTCGCCCATGTTACATGTACAACCACTCGGCGAATTGTGTTATTGGTCCAATAGGAAAATTAATATAGGCTTGTACCTGCTCACATGCACGTCTACCAATCCAGGTTCCATTATTTTCATATCCCGAAGAGCAGAGATTTTACTGGCGAAGATATCAAATCGGGGGTGAAGTGTCCGATAATGCCCGCTTGACTTTCAGTGTTTTCCCGAAATCTTGTGTGGGCCCAGGTGAATAAATTTTTTTTTCCTATGCTGCGTACGAAGTATGGCCAAAATAGGCATATAACCAAGCTATGCTTGTCAAAGGCTTCGCTTTCTTGGAATGTTCTTGGAAAGTACTTGGAAGGCTTGGTTGATGAGCCAAGAAGTAGTAAGCAAATATCCTGATCTTGGAAGTGTGGTTGACCTGTAAAAGTTTTCGAAATCCGCTGTCTTTGACATGGTTATCCCTTCCTAATGCGGAATCATCTTGGCGAATGGATCCGCCCACTTTTCCTCCCCAATTTTTTGACTCTCTTTGATATGGTTCTCGGGATGCTTCTTCGGGATGGTGTCTTCGGGAAGGGCTGCATCGGGCATACTCATACCCGTTAGATGGGACTTTCTGTTGTTGAGTCCGCAAGCCGTTAGTCTACATCCCACAGTTCTCATGTGACTACGGAGTATGGAGTGGAGTATGGAGTAGAGTATGGAGTACCTAGAATATGGAGTAGAATATGGCTCGTGATCCCGATGATCATTGCTCAAGACGGCATCCCCCTCAGAACCCCGGGAAATTATTGCAGTCCACGGCTGACCCGTCGCCGTAACCGGCCGGGGCATCGGGCACGACGCAGTTCCGAAGAAAAAAAAGGCAAGTTTCACGAGATCGTTGGAAGCATGGGAATACGTAATATTCGGGCCACACCAATCGGCACCGAGCGTGCACTGCCAATTGCGGTCGACGAATGGCCATTCAATGAAATCCTCGACCCCTGACCCACCTTCCCCCCACCTAATTTCGTATTCCCCCAGGTCGTGGAGGGTCGGGTAAGATTCCCTTTCCGGTTAAGTATCGTCGCTCACCTCCAGACGCCCACAAAAGCCACGAGAAAATAAGAAGACGAGCAAGCCTGCTATCTTAACGAATATACGCCATTCCATGTAACGTTGTTTAGTTAGTGTACAACATAGTGAGATAGATAACCCAAGGCCAAAAACGGTAAACACACGCCGCTCGGAGCACTTGGCAGACGAGATTTGCTTGTTGCATCCCCGCAACCCCACTCATTTGGCCCTTGGCCCCCTCCTTGGTCCCCACGGCGGGTCGCAAGACTTGCCTATCCAATGTTGAAGCGCCGCCGATGTCACTCCGAACTTTTCTCTTCTTGGCATTAACCCAATGGACATGCGCACTGAATGCATATAAGGTACAGAAACATTCCCCCCGGTGTCTGAGCTTCCTTTTTCTTCTTATGTCGCTTTGGTATTTCCCTCTCATCTAATAGAGGACGTTGATCATGTGGACCACAACCTCCGGCTTACGGGGCAAGAAGCTCCATCTTGCTATCACCTTCACATCCGTCGTTGGATTCTCACTTTTCGGATATGATCAGGGTTTGATGTCCGGTATCATCTCTGGTGACCAATTCACCAAGGAATTCCCTCCTCTCCATGGTGACTCTGAACATGTCGCCGTCCTGCGTGGTGCGGTCACTGCCTGTTACGAACTTGGTTGTTTCTTTGGTGCTATCTTCACAATGATGTACGGTCAGCGTATTGGCCGCACTCCTCTCCTGGTAGCCGGTGGTATCCTCATGATCGTCGGTACAGTTATCTCTACTGCTGCCTTCGGCCCCCACTGGGGACTGGGCCAGTTCGTTATTGGACGTGTCATCTCTGGTCTTGGAAACGGCATGGATACCGCGACTATCCCCGTCTGGCAGTCAGAGTGTTCGCGCGCTCACAACCGTGGTTTCCTCGTCTGCTTCGAGGGTGCTATCATCGCCGTCGGTACCTTCATCGCCTACTGGATTGATTTCGGTCTCTCTTATGTCGACAGCTCCGTTCAGTGGCGATTCCCCGTCGCCTTCCAGATTCTGTTCGCCGCGCTTGTCACTGGTGGTGCTCTTATGCTGCCCGAGTCGCCTCGTTGGTTCGTCATGCAGGGTCACGATGAGGAGGCCCTCAAGGTTCTCGCGCAGCTCAACGATAGTGCTGTCGATGCGGACGATGTGCTTGCCGATTTCAACATGATGAAGGCTGATCTCAAGGCCATGGAGAGTCTTGAGGCTAGTAGCTGGCGTGTCCTCTTCACTGGTGGTAAGACTCAGCACTTCCAGCGTATGGCGATCGGTTGCTCTGGCCAGTTCTTCCAGCAATTCACTGGTTGCAATGCCGCTATCTACTACTCGACCCTGCTATTCGAGCAAAACTTGCACATGGAGGGCAAGCTTCCCCTGGTTCTAGGAGGTGTTTTCGCCACTGTCTACGCTCTTGCTACTATCCCATCCTTCTTTATGATTGAGAAGGTCGGTCGCCGCAACCTGTTCTTGATTGGTTTCCTCGGTCAGGGTCTCAGCTTCATGATCACTATGGGTTGCCTCGTCAGATCGAACTCGCAGAATGCCAAGGGTGCGATTGTCGGTATCTTCCTCTTCATCTGCTTCTTCGCCTTTACTACGCTGCCTCTACCCTGGATCTACCCCCCGGAGATCAACCCCCTCCGCACTCGTACCAAGGCCGCCTCCGCTTCCACCTGCATGAACTGGATCACCAACTTCGCCGTCGTCATGTTCACTCCTGTGTTCTCCAACCAGTCCGACTGGGGTATCTACCTCTTCTTCGCGCTTATCAACTTTATCGCCATCCCCTTCGCCTGGTTCTTCTACTGTGAGACCGCCGGTCGTGATCTCGAGGAGGTTGACATCATCTTCGCCAAGGCCCACATTGAGGGCAAGTGGCCTTACCGGGTCGCACAGGAGATGCCCAAGCTCACCATTGCCCAAATTACCCAGTTCCAGAACGAACTGGGTCTCGATACCTCCGACCTCCAGGTCAACTCTGAAGCCGAGAAGGCCGAGACTGCTATGAGCAGCAGCAGTGAGGCCAAGAACGGCGATACCAAGCACGAGGAGTAAATGCTTCAATCGTCAGTTGCCCTTGGTTGATGTCGGCCGAGTGAGATTCGCGGAGCGAATCGAATTAATCATCTGTTTCGGATCTCATATTATCATGTGACCATAGAATCTCTATACCCCCCCCTGTGTCTAACGGGAAAGCGGGCAGACTAGTATGTGAATAGTCTGCTCTACGATCTTTTTCTCTTTTCTCGACATTTCATTCGATTTGAATACATACTTTTTACCGTAAAATCTCCCGTTTATCTAAACATTGTGGTAACGGATCTAAATGCGTTTGATGCTCCCTCTTGCCCTTGCAGTCTACGATCAGCACAGTAGTCGTATCCCCTTATGCGGGAAGGTGGAAAGTAAAGAAGGCTTGACAATATGGTGTACAACATATATAATACACTAAGATTTTGGTGCAAAGTTGGTAGAATTAACCAAGGCATTCCATTCAGATTCCACTTTCAATTTGTGTGCGTCGTGACTCGTAACTAACGAGGACCTTGGAAGCTCCTGCAGATCGAGCATCGATTAGAGGAATTCTAGGAGAGCCAAACCAAAGAAAACTTACATGTGCTTCGGCATAAATCCCATGTCTTAAATCAAACAACAGGGGTATAAAGTATTAGTTATAGGGCCCGAGGCATTCATGAAGACAATCTCGGCCACATGCCAAAAAAACAGCCGCGTTAGCTTCTTAGTTTCGCAGCAAAGGAATTAAATATTGAACTAGCCCATTGAAAAACCCTGTCTAAGCATAATAATATTAGAACTTAATCCAGAAGGACCTAGCCAGCCG